TGTGTCATCCTGAGCAAGTCACTTACCCACTGTGGATGGGATTCACAAAGATATTTTGGCACCTAACTCCCAGGAGTTATATCCCGCCTCACGTTCCTCACTCTTTCCCATCCTGACCATGCATGCTTTGCCTAATTGATGTTTATAAAGCAATTTGAGATCCTTGAGTTTAGTCACACTCTCAGATATGTGAGCATCATTCCCATTAACTTTGACAGGATTATGCCAATATATATCAGGGAACAGAGGGAGAAATGCAAAGTACTAATTAGTATATTTGTATGAATATAGGACCTAATTATCTATCTCCCTGATGTACTATCCTATAATTTGTTAGTGCTCCAAAGAGTTAAATTATATTTGCAGTTATATCAGTATGACTCTGGAGTAACTCCTTCGAAGTCAATGTAACTGAAAACAGAATGTGCCTTTCTGTGCAGGTATTTAGAGCTCCCATGACACTCACTTGCATCCTGCAGCAGGAGATTCAGATCCCTCTCATTTTAGCTACTACACCAATAGAAATTGCAGGTTCTCTTAACTGGTGCAAAACGGTCTTGTTAATTTGTGGAGTTTCCACTATAATATACAGGAAAGAGTGAGATTAAAACATTTAGGGTCAAATCTTGATTACTCTACTTAGAAGAATTGAAAGGGGACCTACAGAGAATTTTTTAAAATTGATCTTTTTCTAAACTTCTTTATGATTAGGCTTTGCAAAATTCACTTTTTTTATAATTTTGATGGATAATATCTGTTATAAGCATTTTTCAATGTTTACCTATTTAAATTTTCACGGTCACACAAAACCAATTTAAATGTTCACAATTGTGGAAAATGATGGGGAGAATCAGACAATAATTTAATGATAGTAGATGCTGACATTGAAAAAGTTAAAGCTTTATAACTGTTAAAATACAAACCGTCAACATCACATGTCAAAATATACAAAGCAAATATCCTAAATCATACTCTAAGAAGTTCAAAAGCAGAATTTTTCTTACTTCGCCTATCTTTTCCATTTAAATTATTATCAAAAGGCACTATTTTTATCAGTTTGTGTGCGTATGGTAAAGTCAAGATTTACTGTTAAAACGTTACGATCTAATCCTTCCAAGCCTATTTGTAATGCATAAAGAGGCTCTGAAAGGTGTTTTGTTCTTAAAATTACACAGACACACTTGTTTTTTCCTTACAAATAGCAGGAATATCAATTTTGATCGCTCCTAGTTTTGCTGGAGGCCGTGTTGGATGTCTCAGAGGAGAAATATTGTTTGCGCTTATCACTGAAAGTTGTTAAACAATACATAAAGGGACAGATTCTGCTACTCCTACTTACATCTTTCTCCAAGCGTGCCATTAAGTCAATGCAACTATTCATGGAGTAAGATACTATTCAACATGAGTAAAAATTTACTTAAGGAATGTTAAGGAGTTAGACTAAAAAGTCTCCATCCCTCTTAATTGCTCAGCCATTCACGCACTTGATTCTTGTGATGCCCTCATTTCACTAGTTCTCCAGCAATCAGTCTTGCAGGCTAAACAAGATTTTCTACTGTAAAAACATGGCTTCAAAATAAACTTTCAGGCTTTCTTTATACATAGTAAAGAAGAAAAATTCTCCCTTCTTAGAAAAATTCTCCCACCTTTAATAATTTAACCCACATGGTTTAGTTCAGGAGTTAAATTGACTTTCAATGAGATTTTTAAATAATATTTATGCTATTAACTTTAATGAAAGTATTCACATGTATGAAGTTAAACGTGTATTCGTGTCTGAAGGATCAAGTCTATAGTAACTACATTTTAGTACCCTCTCTTGTCATTTTAATAAAATACATATTTTTAAAAAGGCATACTTTACCCATTCAAAGTCATTTTTACTCCCAAACGAACTCCAATAACAAGTCGTCAGTGGGACTGTTAACATGTATGAAGTTAAGACAGTGCATAAACATTTGCAAAATCAAGGCTATACTACCTTTCCCTCTATATCTCACTATTACATGCAGCATGAACATTGCCATTAAAACATAATACTGGCTAAATATATTGGGGGGGGGGGAAATTAAACATCCATCCAATGAGGCTTTCTGCATATACCTTACCAAAAAACACCTCCCCACATATAAACCACCACTTCCCACATTTTGCAACCTGGTTTCAAAATGAGCTGTGCATTCAACCCAGTTTTACATACGTAATGTACATGTCTGGTGTGTTATTGCTGTGCTTTTAGAAGTATAACATTAGCTCTGCACACACTTACTGCATTGATGGGGAAGCATCAGTTGGGAAATGGTACCCCCTTTAGTTCTTCTCTTCAGTGGGAAAGGCAGGATTGGCTTCTTCTCTTCTCTAAGGGTGGTTAGACAGTAATCAACCCACTGAGGATTGGGTCACATGACGCAGCTCCTATTTCTTTCCTTCACTGTGGGACGGGGGCTACTCCGGCGTCTCACCAGAGGGGAAAGAGGTGTTGGGTTCATCCAAAGGGGGAGTCCAGGAATCTTGTGTTTACTGGCAATTTTGGGGAAATTGCCAACTGTTGCACTAACACCAGCAGAGCTGCACCATGCTACTTCTACAGTGGGAGATTTAAATAAACTCTGACATAGAGGAAGCCAGGAAGGAACACACATAGGAAAACTGGGTGTATCATGAATGGAGGGAGATGTTTGAGCACAGGTGTTAGAATGTCCATACTACCTTTGCCGACCACGACCCCCTACTAAAATTACCCACTGTTGCCACCACCTGGACAGCTGCACCAGTGGGAGCAATGGTGGGACTAACAGCTCACACCAGTGCCTTGTGTACACTCGTGGGTCTACCATTGCTATAACTGGTGGAGCTGACCTGGTGGTAGCAATGCTTAGAACTTTAGAGGGAAAAGATCCTTTCTAAACAAGGCTACAGAAGGGGAAGCATGTCTGGATGGGAGATGGCTATGTGACTCAACAGTGACGAGGACAGTGGGGTTGGGTGTCTTAGATAGCAGGCATGGGGGAAATAAACACAAATGGAGGTGACCTTCAGGGGCGGAGTGGAAGTCTCCATTGTGAGGCTTGCACAAGCAGAGCAACCCATGGAGATCACGAAGCCACTGTAGACCAATTATGATTCTGTTGTCTCAGTGGAGTAAAGAGTGACTAGCACCTTCCTACTAAATATCCCCTAGGTCAGTTCATAACTCCTCTTGTACGTGACTTATCAGAGTGGTATCAATAGCAATATTGTTGTAGTGAGATAGCTCTCATAAATGGGGATCATCAATGACAAACTGGTTGGAAACTCAAAAGGAGAATCTCTCTCCACGAGGCAACCAGGGGGAGGCTAGATTTGCTTTACCTGCAAATGTTTCCTAGTGCCATCACTTCTAGCTCCACTCTGGTTTGTGAGAGTACAGAGCAGCTGAGCGAACTGATTCACAAATATTGCATTACAAAACATGAGGCCATTGGCAGAATAAAGGATCATCAAATCACGATTATATGTTGTGTAGTTGTAGCCCTGTGGGTCCCAGGATAAGTAGTTGGTCCAATAAGAGACATTACCTCACCCACATTGTCTCTCTGATCGCTTTTAGCCAGTCAGCGCTGGTGAAGCCATGACAAGTAACCCGGCCTGAGCTGAAAGTTTTCTGCCGGCTGTTCTGCAGCCCGGAGCCAGACCCGCGCTGAGGCTGCTCTCTCGGTGCTCGTCCTGCCCGCATCCCCCAGGCTCGCAGCACAGGTTACTCAATGAACCAGGGGCCCTCCTCACCCACAGTCTGCTGGAAATGGGGCGCTTCGGAGCGGGGCCGTCACACCTGCTGCCCCTGCAGGACACAAGCCCTAGGGTTCCCCGCCCCTCGGAGCGGCGCTGGCGGGGGCTAACAGCGGGGGAAAGCCCCGGCCCGCGCATGGCGCACGCGAAACAGCCCCTGCAGGGAGCGGCGCCTCCCGGCCCCCCGGGAACGGGCTGGGAACAGGCGCCTCCAGCTGGCAGCACGTGGGGCGCCCTGCGGCTCACCCGGGGAAAGCGGGACCCACGCGGCCCTCGAGCCACGTCCTAGGCCCCTGTCCCTGCCCCCGCCCGGCCCTGCGGGCGGGAAAGAGCTCGGCGCGGGGCCTGTTGCGCCGCAGGGTGGGGTGCTGAGCTACTGCCCGCGCCTCTGCTTGGAGCCGGCCGCTGCCGAGCGCGCCCGGCCGGAGCCAGGCCAGGGGCGAGAGTGCAGGGCTGGCTGCAGGCTGCTCAGACGCTGCTCCCCGGCTCAGTCAGGCCCGCGGGCCTGTCCGGCCGAACCAAGGCCGCCCCCTCCCCGGCTCAGACACGGTGAGAGTGAGCCAGCCAAACGCGCCCTCTGGGCTGAGCCGGCTGCCCAAAGCGCTCCCCGGGCGCCAGGCCGCAGCCGCCCGCCAGCGAGGGGAGCGCTCACCCCAGCCCCGCATCCGCCCAGCTCCAGGGGCGGGGGCCCTGTGCCATGTTTACATGCAGTGTGTTAGCCAGTGCCCCCGCCCGGGGCCTTGGCAGCGTACAGCTCCTTCTCCTGCCAGCGTGAGCCCAAGCACCAGCGAGCTGCTCTGAAAATGGCCGGGCGTTCTTGGGCTGGCTTTCCTGCCCTTCCAGAGCAGCCCCCAGTAGAGAGCGCGGGCGGGTATTTAACCCAGTACCCCTTTAAAACTCGATACTAGCGCCTGTGGCTGACGTTCAGCATTAATCACCCCAGTTGAAATCTGAGGGCTTGGGGAGCTTTGCAGACAAGCTTAGTTGCAGAAGGATTTGCTGGGCGCTCCTGGCAAAAACCCATCAGCTTCGGCCATTAAGGGTACCGCTCTGGGACGACAGTAACCATGAGTAAAGGGAACCCACCCAATCGTACTCGAAGTTAGGGTGCATTTAGAAATGTGCAGCCGTTCACAGCTGGGGTCGTCCGTTGCCCGTATTTAAAAAAATAAAAAGTTTTGCTTTCTTTTTTAATCGTGTCTCGCGCCTGCTGAGAAATTTAACATCGCTTCACACACTGAAATTAGGGATTAATCAATTACAAAAGTGGCACCATTTACAACACCGTAATCTTCCTCTCTTTCCACACTAGCCAGCCCCGGATAAATAAATAACTGCAGACACCCCTTTTTCTAGACGAAGGGGAAATATGTCGCCACCGTCGGATTTAAAGTAATTATAAGCAGCACAGAGATAAATAAAGGGGCCCGGCGTATACCTGTGCCACACCTCCGCCACTTTGATTTTATTTGCGAGCAATCACTTCGGGGTAACGTACACTATATACAGATCTCTTTTCCCTCCAACAAGGCAGAGCGTGTGCAAGTCGCATCCTTTTGTGCAAGTCCCACAGTCCACGACAAGGGTCCATTTGCAAGGTATCAACTATCGGAGTCCAAGTCACTTTTCCCTTCTTCTTGCCTCTTTTCTGGGGACGTTTTGGAAGCTTTATTCCATTTCTGTGCGTTTTCTGACTCCTCCGAAGAGGATCTCTTTTGCCTTCTCCATTTTGCCCGGCGGTTCTTGAACCAAACCTGTCATTGCAATAAATCAAATCATTATAGTAACAACAACAACAACATTTTGTTCACACAGGCACCCTTTTCAGACCGTACGCGTGATACCAGTTCGGCGTAGAATACACATCTTTGACTCGATTTGCTTTGGTGTGGTTTAGATGGAAAAGCAGAGTAATTACAATCGTTTAGGTATATTTCAAGTCTAAGGTTTACCGCGTTTAAAGAGGGGTGATCGCTTACCGAAATTTGGTAATTATCTGAGTGATCGGCTTATTTAGCCGATTGCAGACGGGTATGTTGAAGAGCTAAACTTTTCGCCCCTCTTGAAAACCTGTTGCATGCTCCTCCATCAGTTTGCCTTGGACAACGTGCGGCGATGTCTGCAGCTAGACTAGGAATTGAGACTCAGTTAACTTTTAAATATAAAGGGGAAAATACCTCCACTTTTTCCTCTCTTAAATGCACCCTCCTGGCCAGCTGTTCCCTGGTGCCCACATCTGGGTATTTAGTTTCCTGGAAGAGGTTTTCCAAAGCTTCCAGCTGCTCGTCAGTGAAGATAGTTCGGTGTCGTCTTTTCCTCCTGCAGTGCAGCTGGTTCAGTAACTGCAGCTCAGTCCGGGACAAGGTGCCCACGTTCATATATGGCAACATCTGGTGGGGCACAGGCGACATCAGGACTGACCCAGTACCCTCGTAGCCTAGAGAGAAGACGACCACACTATTTGCATTGGACGGAGAGATCAAGACCAGGTCACTCCGTTAAAAACCTGTACCCCCTTCTCTCGGACACCGACCAACCGACACAACCCGAGATCCTCCTCTGAGTCCGAAACAAAGAACCCCCGTGCCAAAGAATCTGAAATTAGAATGGGGCTGAGTGAGACGCGTCCTATAGACATAAGACAGGGCAAGGAATTGCCAGGGTGACAGTACTTCGCTGGGATTCCTAGTCACTTCGGAGAGGCAGGGATCCAAACGCTGTTTACAGCTGGCTCATCAAGCACACAAATCGCCAGGTACCCTCCTCGCGAACAATCTCAAACCGCCCCCCACCCCGTAGAGCGCCCCGGGCTCTCCCAGCTGGGTGAGAACGAACGGGGCACCTGGGCTCGCTTACCTGTTGCAGGGACGCACGAACACTGCTGCGCGCCCAGAGGCTGCACGGCCCCACAGCACGAAGGACCCACGGGGGACGCCTGCACATGCAGCTGCCCGTAGTAGTAGTTGTTGTAGGCAATCCTAGATCCACTGACCGCGGGCAGATTGGAAGCGGGGGCCACCGCCCGGGAGTAAAATCCGCTGTAATCGGTGCCGTAGAGGGATTCCCCATGCAAGTTGGAGAACACCACGGGCGCGGCGCTCTGGTGCAGCAGGACCGACTCCTTGCAGCGGGGTCTGGCGGCCAGGATGTTGTCGATGCTGAACATACCAGCAGGCATTACCCGAACGCTGCAGGGGCGGGCAGGGAGGGACGAAACCGAAACTTTTCCGAGACTTTCAAGGGGATCAGAGCGAAATAAATTGATCTTTTCCAGCAGGCAACGTGTGTCTGAGAGAGAGAGTGTGTGTGTGCGCGCGCGCGCTCGCAGGAGCCTGTCCTGTAACTTTCCTCCCTCCACTCTCGCCTGTTTACTGATCTCAACCCAGAGGGCTGCATGGAGTATAATCCATCTGAACTTCTTCCCTTTTTTATACCCAGGCGACGTCATCCTGGCTTTAGTTCCTGGTAATAGGCAGATGACAAACAAAACCAGATTTGACTTTATTTTGGGGATGGGGGAGGGAAGAGGTGGAGCTGGGAAAGGGGTACACAAAGGAGTGAAAGGAGCCTGATCTGTGTATTGAGAATTAATGAAATTAACTTAATCCTTTCCATTAGTGGGACTTTTTTTTCTTTTTGTGAAAAGGCCCGAGATTTAGGCTTGATCTCTCCGCTGCACCGGCTAATTGCCCAGGTTAATCTGATTAATGCCATTGTGGAGAAGTGGTTAGCAGCTCCTAGACCCGTCTATTATGCACCTACTCTCCTCGTGTTGGTTCACATTATTAGGTGTGATTTCCTCTGTCTGCGACTCAGAGTCATTATTTATGCTTGGAATTGGTTAGGTAACACTTAAAAAAAATCTTTAAAACGAATTAAACTGCGACACAGTTGCGCCATATTTTGTGCATGGGTGTTTCTGGGATAGGGTTTGGGTCTTGGCTCCTTTGACTCAGGGGTAGAAGGGATGCGTAGTGTGCCTTGTTTTCTAAAAGCACAACGCCTTACCCAGAATAAATTAACTTTAAAAAACATTACCACGATTATTTCTTTGGACAATTGTTCTAAGCATTTTTTTTTAAATTCAAGCAAGGCAGCTATTAGTGGCTTTAATATTGCAGAAATAATAATCTGGCATCTAAAACACATTGAGTGGTAGGGATTCAGATTCGCTTTCCACTCATTAAGATGCGCTTTTCCTTTTCAAGAAAGAATCATTTATGTTCTATCCTAGAAAACACAGGCTATGGAGCAGCGATTGTACAGTACTTAATTGTGCCTGCCCATTACATGTAAAGGGCGCGGTTTAATTCCCTTAAACTGTTTGATAAAGACGTTTGTCTCTCGTGGTAGCTGGCTCTTGTGATTTGCAGAGTAGCTGGTCTGTCACGACTGTCACTGGGAATCCACAGGAGGTAAACTGATTTGCCCCATCAATCCTCTATCAAAAGGAGGTAGGAAACTGTACGCATGAAATGAAAACAAGCCATTAGGATCTGTTTACGAGGAACAAATTATTTTTACTCAACAAAGATTTTACTCATTAATGTTGGGGAAGCGTTCTTGTGGCCCGGCCCTTCAGTATTCAACAATTTCAAATTGGATATGAAAGTGATCTAGACCAGGAGGCAGTTAATATCAGCAAAGGGCTTGCATGTTTGGGATTTGTTTTTTTTTTTTTAAGATCTAGTACTCACTTTTTATTAATAAATCACAATATGATTAGTTAGAATGTTTCTTTCATTCAGCTTCTGTTTACTTTGCAGATCAATTAATTTTCTTCTGGTATTTAAAGAAAAAAAAACAAACCACGCACAATTGCCACCAAAATATTTGACCGGAGTCCTGGATGTGAATTCTTACACACGGCGTTTAGATGTGAAGTTCATGCAGATTTCCAAATGTAATGTAAAGTCAAACTGTTGCACAGAGGTAAAACCCGTAATTCCCTCGGACTAGATTGGCGCTTCCAGTCATGTTACAAATAGACAGCATGCTGCAGAATTTCGCGAGCTCAATGCTTTGTTCACGTATTCGCCCTTGGTGCCTCTACTGAACTGCTGAGCACCCCTTAAATCGCAATCTGAAACTCCAGGTTACATGCAGTGCGCTCTGTTGAAATGCAGAGTATCATTCCGTCTCTGTCATAGATCTTCTAGGAGTCGAAGGACAGAGAAATGGAGCAATAGTGGGATTGCTCTGAAACTGACAAAACAGAAGACCGAGGGGTCTCGTCTTGAATACAACGAGAGAGAGCGCGACCTACCCTATCCACCCGTTTACATTAACAAAATACCACATTGCAGTGTCCAGTATCTTGGGTTTCCTTAAACAGGAGCGTCCTGCATGTTTTTTATGACCTCTCGGCTGATGTTTTGTGTAATAAAGGGGGTCACCACTTGGTCCCAGGTAGGTTTTTATACCAAACAAGCAAGTGACTGAGGCTGATGAACTTCACCTTGGTGTTCTGCGTAGTATAAAGTCAAAACTTGTACATTAGAAGGGCTCGGGTACATTCCTAAGACAGAATCAGAAGAGTTTTGCAAGCCCTTTTCTGATCTGGCCAGCCAAAACACAAGCAGAGCCACAGAACTATGTTGCCCGAGCTACCTAACTAGCCTTAGCCGCTGTCAGATTAATTAAGATAATTAGCTATAAAGTATTCAATTCCCCCCCCCCCCCCGAAGTTTAAAGTAATTCCTGCTCATGCTGTTAGGGTGGTATGAAAAAGCCTGCAGTCGTTCATTTTTAGGGCAGAATTAAGTTATGGTGGATACATTTTGATCTGCTTGAATCAATTATTCATAGGTTTATTTCCTCAAGGTAAGATTTTGCATCGTAGGACAAGTGTGTTACGTTAAAGGCACAAAGTAGGCGTAATAAGATTGTAGAACCATATTTTTCTCGTTATGATCGCCATGCTTTTAAAGTACGGTTAAGATTTGTAATACTCTGCGGAATCACAATCTAATAGCACTCATTCTGTTCCTTTCCATAGCCATAGTACAACATTTTAACAGAGAGCTTCTTTAGAGTTTCCAGTGGTTTTTTTGTTTTTAAATTTCTGGTTAATTTTTTTCCAAATAACGTTAAATCTTTGTATAGAAGTTGTAGATGCATTTTAGTGAACTTTAAGCAGAATCTTGAGTTATTTATGTATCACACACACACACACACACACAGACTTACTAAAACCTGATTTAGGAGTTTCTCATTTCGCATCCACTTTGCACTAACCTACAAACGTAACAATGCGTTAAACAAACAATCTGTTGTCCCATATTGTCAGGGTGAAATTGGAATAACAAATGAAACGCAAGCAAATTGTGTGGCATAGTGTTGCTAAGCGATTGTTTGTTACTGTATCATAGTCACAGCATGGGTTGAAAGATACATCTAAAGAGGAGTACAGTAACGGGCAGACAAAGCTGTTAGATATGAAATAATGTAAACACGACATTGATTTTCAATATTATTACCCACACACGATTTCATACAAAGCAATCACCATGCATAAGTCTACGAAAATGTGCTTGTTGAGAAGCCAGTCATTTTTATAATAGTTCTCACTTTAAAGATATTTAATAACAGATCAGTGGATTCAAAATACATCGATTTTTGCGAGCTCAGTATATCAACCTGCTTTTTTGATTACAGCAATACCAGCAATGTATTAGAAGCTCTGACTCTAATAAATTGCTTCTGTGATTTAAATAGAAATACCGAAAGTTTTTCTACCAGGAGCAGTAAATCGAGATTCCCCACCACCATCTACACACACACCTTCTCTCCCCACTGAGTTAATTCAAAATGGTCTGCGAAACTCTTCTCATTTACATTTTATAAGGATGCCAAGCTCTGTGCACAATAGGATTATTTCTCAATCGTAAACATGTAATTGTGGACCAGAGAAGGATTTTATACGATGTATTCTTTTAGAAATATGCTCATCCTTAAATTCTAGGATTGTAAGGGCCGCATAGGGGTCACCTGTCACCTAATTAAAAAAAGAATAATATGTATTATGACCAAATCCCTGTGCCTGTTTGATTCTAGCATTGGAGCATGGAATAAAAATATTCTATTTAAGAAATAACCCATTTTACTGTATTTCAGCGTTAGTAGCATGCAATACGTATTTTATTCTTTAGGCTACTGCAAACACAATCCTTAATTACGCGTCATTAGGACGTCGTTGTGAAGAGCAATACATCTGCTCTCCAACTTTTGGCGAACAGTTCTTAGGAGGGTTAGGAAAAGGAAAGACCCTAATAAGCTTCTGGGGACAAGTTGTGGTCGCAGACACATTGGTGTAAATCCGGAGTGACTCCACTGATTTCAATAGTCACTCCGGATTTACACTGGTATAGCTGAGCAGAGGTTTGACGCAGGAGATGTGTATCAGAGAGACTGGAATACACAACCTCGTGAGGATGCAGTGTAAAATGATGCCAGCTCAATTAGAGAAAAAAATATCCCTCTGAGTTGATTTTATTCATTCAACCTGGTTTGTTTTAAACTCTGAACATAGTAAAAGAAGATAGCCAGCGTTCCAAACATTTAATAAAATGTAAAACTTCTTAGCTAACGTTGGTGAGATAACACACACACAAATATATACCATTATTGCAACGATTTGAACGAGTTGGGGGGAGGGAGGGCGGGGTGAATGGATAGATCTCCTGCAGGGTGGAGAGGTGGAGGAGCAGATGGGAGAGAAAGCAATACTCATGATTTATAATGAGCTAACACTTTTAAAATAAACTAAAGCACCTTGTCGTTCAGTTTACAAAATAACTGAGTTTGCAAATGTTACCATGACCCTTAGTCAAACATCAGCTTTCCCAAAGTTTGTTTCAAAACGATTGCATCATTACTTAACACACACACACACACACACAAACACACACACATAAGGCACAATTAGGGATAATTTGTTCCCAGAATAAACTTATCTTGGACTGATTAGGAAAGTCAGTCATTTGAAAACTAGGCAAAACTGCTAAGGCTGTTCCTAAAACTTCCCTCTAACGATATCAGCTTCTAAAGTTTTCATTCATAGAAACCTTATTAATGAAGATATTTTATTTAAATGTCAAGGGGATTTGAAATTTAGAGTAAATTATGAAGCTTGCATGTCTTGCCAAGTCATGGGTCAAATGCGTTTGTGAAAAACTGCTAAAAGAGCATATGGTTTTGAATTTTTCTACAATGACTAGTGTTTAAATAAATTGCTTGTACTGCTTAACTTCATGTATAATTTTGACAGAAATTGGCCTATAGCCTTTTGATATGTAAACATTTCAGGCTTTTATGCGGTATAAAAAGA